TCCCTGCGATCGGAGAGGTACTTGCCCAGTTTGAAGGCGCCGGACACGGGACCGAGGCGCAGGCCAGCCGGGATGCTGCTCTCGGCGGTGATGCTGAGTGTCGGCGGAGCCCGGCTGCTTTGCATCGCTGCCTTGGGCGCAAAAGAAGACGCCGCAGCGGCGACCGGGCAGGGGGCCCGGACTCTCCGAGGGGCTGGAGTGACAGAGGGAGAGGCGCGCGAAGGCAGACCAAGCAGCCAGGAGGGTTGAGCCGCACCGGCGCTATCTCCGCCCGCCGAGTGACGCGGCCGGAGGTGCGCGCCGCCTTTTTAATTGCAGCGCCAGGGCGCTCCCCTTGGCACGCTGGTGCTCCAGGGCGCCCGGTTGGGATGGTGAGAGAGTTTGGCTCCGGGAGCAGCTGCCGACTTCCATGCAAGAGGGTCACATGGAGCTTTTCCCGTGCCCCCCCTTCCTTCCCTCTCCCTCCCTCCTTCCCTGCCTCTCCCCCTTCTCCGACCGCCCCGCAACGCATAATCAAGGGCTTTTTTGAATGGGGGCAAGCAACAATGGTCCAGGCGACCTTCCCATTCCTAAAAATCCAATTTGTCAAGGGCAAAGAAAAGGCGCTGGTGAATCAAAGGTCTGGAGGGACCATTAATCCTCAGCATGGGGGATTGTCCCCGCGACAGTTACGATATTTTAAGTGACAAATCCACTGTATAATTTCTCCATAAATTTTACTTCCTTCGATTGTTCCTCGACAAACCAGTTTTGGAAAAGAAGGGAGTGTTTTAAGTCTACTTGGCTGAGCCTTTTGTCAACCAAGAGACTTCAAAGATTTTTAATTCTCTTCCCTTCGGTTGGATTGTAAAGGCGATTAAACAAAGAGATGGAGGGGGGATGTGGAGGGGACTTGTTAACTTCTATTGATTCCTGGCGTGTGCCATACAGAAATTGGGCAGGTACTTGATGGGAAAACACCAGAAAATACCTACACTTTTTTTAAAAGGGGGGGAGGGGAAGGAAAAAAGAAAGAAAGAAACACAACCACATTGCAAATTCAGTGGGATGGTTTAAGCCTAGAAATCAGTTCGGAGAAGGGCCTTGATGCTCAACTCTTTCTTTTTCTCCTGATATTAGTGGCACGAACGGGGAGAGGGGGAGAGCCGGCGGTGAAAGCAGCAAGCTTTACATCAATAATAATGGTTTTATTTCGTCCAGGGAGGAAACCGTTTTGTACTGGGGGGGGGGAGGAAACAGAATGGCAGCCAGATTTCATACACACGCACATATTTTGGGGAATGGATTATTTCTCAGTTCGTGTACAGTTACCCACTCCTTAATCTAAGTCTCTGCACAAATGCTTATCTGTGGGATTCTTTTTGTTTGTTTTGCTTAAGCACCTTGGGTAGAAAAATATGGCTCCAGCTAGGATACCTGTAGATCCAAGAACAATCCCGATCATTAACACCAAGGATACATTTCTAAAAATTATAATTCTGAGATTTCTGATAAGAACCAGAGGGGGAAAGTTAAAAAAAGAGACAGCAGAAGATAAATAATATGGGCAATGCAAAAGGTATTTATTTGATTATTCTTACTTCTAAGGGTTCCCGTGGAAGGCGCAGGGAGGGGGGAGTCTGAGCCAAGATCTAGTCGCGCCTGTTTGCAAGGATGGTCTACTCCAATCACTGAGAACTGCCTGCACATAAACACCTCTAGGGCTGAACTCTTGTACCCTGTTACCTGGGAAAGCTCGGTTGAATTCAGCGGGAATTAACTTCTGAGAAGGTGTGAGCAGCAGGTTGCAGTACTAAGGGGGGATCCGTTCCCAGTAAATGCAGAAGGGTTTCCCGCTCCGCGTTTGCTAGACCTAGCTGGAAGTCCGTGTCACTGGAATGAGTGGGACTCACAACTTGAAATAGAAAACCAAACAGCAAAAGGCACATGGCATTACTAGCATTTCTCCGGTTTACCTACTAGTAGTTTTTCCTCTGCAGGTGTGTGTGTGTGTGTGTGTGTCTTGGATACACAAAGGGACAGACTTTGCTGGGATCTCATCTCCCTCCCATACATGCGAGTACAACACACACACACAGAGAGAGAGAGAGAGAGAGAGAGAGAGAGAGAGAGAGAAAACACGGGCGTGTTTTGTGTATTCCGGATTCTGATGAGCCGTAGAGATCTATATTCAAGAGATTCCAAGGATGGGAGGGGAAAGGTTTTTGGGAGGGGGAGGTCGAAGAGCGGCTGAGTTTCATAGGGCTTATTTCCAAGCGTGCTTAAAGACCTCTCATTGAGATGTGAGAAAGAACAAAATAATCCTTTAATACGCTTATTAGGCAACCTTATATTTTAAAAAAGAAAAGACAGCCCACTAAAATCCATAAAAATCACTAGCTTGTGTATTGCTGATGGAGGAAGGAGGCCGAGGTAAGCACTTAAGGCATACTTGTATCACCAGGCCTTCAGACCTCTATTTCTAATGGGACTGGGAAGCGTGTAGCTCGCCTCCGCGAATGCTTAATCGGATGCACTCCGATTAAATGCAGTGGCGCTGCGGGGGAAGTTCCTTTCCAAATGTATGTATATGTGGTTGCAACCCTGCGAGGCATGCTTGCTTGGAAGATAGCTTTTATTGGGACGTAGGTTTCGGTTTTTTATTTGAAAGCTAACCCTGGTTAGCTCAGGGGAAGCCTTGATCAGGTTGTTTGTTTGAGCTTCCCTTTTTGCTGTCTGCAAGAGTTCTTGACGTTCCTTTCCCTGAACGGGCCGTGAGAACGGTTCTTTTCCCTTTCACGTGCAGCGTGCAGATGGTTACGCATCTCACAGGCATCGTTTTTAGTGGGGTTTAGAAAGAAGGCTGGGCTGGGCAAACAGGCACACCTGGATACAATTCCAAGAAAGTTTGGGCAAACTGGATCAAAAGGCAGCCGAATCAGCACAACCAGGCGGTGAAGCCGGAGCAGAAACTTTGGCTTCCAGCCCAGGAGCCCCCATCCCGATTCCATGTGCTGGGAAGGACCCCGTGCTTCCTTGCAGTTATGCTAAGGCATCTGCAGCCTCGTAGGCCTGTCCTGCACATGTTCCCCGGAAGAGCCTTTATACCGAAACTGGTGGCACTCATTTACACTTAACCTTTTGACTGGGACGGCGGCGATCCTGAATTCAAAAGGCAGGATCCGGCACAAGCGCTTTTACATCTGGCTCATTTAATTTTTCTCACATTTCTTCGTCAAATCAATTGTAACTAACGTTGTTAACTTTTGCTTGGATCTCATCACTCATAAACATTATTACTTCTGAGTAGGCATTGAGCTCCCTTGAGCTTTCTGCTGAATGGGTACCCCTTGGCTTTGGCGTTCTCGGTTGCACTCTAATAATGCGCCTTTATCTAGGAGTAAACCCAGCTGAACTGAGTGAGATTTACTAACAAGTGAACAGGCAGAATTCCTTGATTTTAGAGGAACTTGTAAGGAAAAATAGTTCCCGGACTGGAATGTAAATCAGCTCACGACGCTCTTCTCTTTCCACGGTTTGTAGATAGAGCAACACTAAGTCTAGCGGTAACTCTTTTCAGTTAATGAACACATTAACGTGACATTTGATTTGTTCAGGTTCTATTCAACTCGGTAGGATTCATTCAGCTTGGCTGCAGATAGTGCTGCAGACGTTGGAGTTGACTTTCATGCAAATACATTCGCTTTGTCCTGTAAATATTTCCTAAACGTTTGCCTGGTAGAAAGTCATTGTCATTTGCTTCAAGGAAAAAGTGAAGCAAGTGTTCATGTTTAAAACTTCGGGAAGGCACAGCAACAGTTAAGGAATTTAAATTGCATAGAAAGAATAGCTCGCTTCCATTTAACTGATGTGGGAACTTAAGTGTGGGATTGAAACCATACCTGCAGCCATAATCCTAGTCATGCTTTGGTGTAAAAGCCATTAAAGCAGTGGGATGTCAGAATAAACAACCGCTGGCTCGCAGGATTCCCAGCAGTCCCATATATGTCTACTCAGAGCTCCTGGGACTTACTTCAAAATAGGGGTGTGTGTGGAATTACTAGAAATTTAGCTTGTGAAATCAAAGTATCAACATCAGACGAAATGGATTTACCTGTTTTATTTATATGTCCCAGAGTTGCTTCCAATTTAGGCGATGTTATCAATTAAAGACCTCCAAAAACTCTTATCATTAATAGTCCCGCCTAGGTCTTGCAAACCCAACTCTGTGGGTGCTTTTACACTGAAGTAAATTATTTCTAAGTGTAGGTATTATGGGCACACTATGTTTGTCAGCCAATTCCTCAAAACTATCCAACCATACTACAGGAAGGACATTTCTTGTCGTCAAGTCTAACCGACTTACAGCGACCCTAACAGGACTTCCAAGGTAAGAGATATTTAAGGCATGGCTTTACCAGTTCCATTCCTTCACTGAGTTGGTTTCCTAGTCTGAGAGGCGAGTTGAACCCTGGACTCCTGAGTCCCTGTCCGTCACTCTATCCACTATTCCACACTGGGTATCATTACTCTGCATTAAAACCAGCGTATGGATTCCCTCTTCAGTGGCTCGTCGGGTGGGCAGTTACATTTGGAGGTGCACACTTAGATCTCTAGCACTGAGATGGGGTAAGAACATCTTCCAAAACAGCATTTTTATGCCCTCCCCTAACTACAATCGATTAGTGTATGATGGAAGTGGACAAAACCTCACTGCAATCGCTAGTCTTTAGGGTAACAGTTTTGTTATGTGCCGTCAAGTCAGAGCAGGTTTATAGAGACCGTAACAGGGCTTTCAAGGCAAGTGAGATGTCTAGGGGGTGATCTCACCAGCTCCACACACACCCCAGTGAATTTCCACGGCCAAATGGGGCTTCAAACCACGGTCTCCTGAGTCCTAGTACATCACTCGATCCACCACACCACACCGGGTACCCCTTCAAGGTAATATAGTGCACTCTTTTCACGCCACAGAAGTGTTTTCTGCGCAACAGCTTCCACGTAAAGCCGGAGGGAGTGTACCGTGAAATCCTTAATATTATGTACCTTTTCAATGTAATAGCACTTACTGCCCAGGCAAACGCCCTTTATTGAAGAGCTTTAACGCATTTTCAAAAGTGCCGAGACCCGTGCGGCCTTTCATGTG